TGCCCAGGAGGGCTGCCTTGGACTTATATGGGTAATGAGTGTAACAGGTCTCCCCATAGGCAGTGTATGTCAGTTGAATCTTTTCTGGGGCCAATGTGGGGGTATGGTATTTCCTGGACCTGGGAACCCAGAGCTTAGCCATCAGCTCTCTGGGCCAAGTTCAGATCCTTGAGCTCTCCTCAGATACCTGAGCTCAGGTCCCATGATGTAGCAGATGGTCGCAGGCGGGAAGCCATTGAAGGTGGAGCTCATGACCGAACTGTAGGCGCCCATGGAGGGGAAGATGAGCCAGTCACCCACGTCCAGCTCAGGCAGCTGCACCTCCTCATTGTAGAACGTGTCAAAGGCAGTGCACGTGGGACCATAAAGGATGCAGGGGAAGAGGGGCGGCTTTGAGCAGAGCTCCTGCAGGGACACAGGGGTGGGGAATCAGAGAAGGAAGAGCTCCTGCCCCCAACCCACCCTCCCAGCCTATGCCCTCGGCCAGCAGAGCACCCCCAGGCACCAGCAAGGACACTGGCAGTCACTCACACCAGCCAGTCCCTATGTGCCAGGCACTGCTCTTGACCCGGCACTCATGGAGCTTATATTTGCTCAAGTGACACATCCTAGCCCTGCTAATTCTCAAGGCCTGACACACATGGGGCCTCCATTTCCCATCTATAAAAGCAAAAGATTTCAGTCAATAATCACTCAAAATACTGGGTGAAACTCAGCTGCTATTGGAGTCACATTGGAGGAGGTTTAACAAAGGATTGATGCCACGTTAAATCACAATTAGCATGGGCTCTCTCTCTTCAGTTAGTCTGGACAATGCAGGACTGGCTAGCCATGAAAAATGCTTAATGATCGCATGTAAGCACAAGCCAGGATATCAGGAAACCATTCAAGGGTGGACACACACACACACACACACACACACACACACACACACACACAGTGCATACAGAGAGATCACATGGAAACCCAGAAGAAGACAGATGTACAGATGTACCCACACAGGACCATGTACCTGTCCACCCACCTACCTGCACAGGTGTCAGTCAGCATGCTCACACACAAAAATGCACACACACAGAAGTGCACTTGCAAATACAAACAGGCTTGCCTGTGCACATCCTTGTACAGGCACTTGGTGTGACAATCTACAAGGGCCATGTGTAGTCTAAGACCCTGCCCCCTTGCACCTCACAGAGGGATACCTGCCTCACAGGAAAGGGGCTGACCTCACTGCTATCAGGGTCTGGGAGGTGCCAGAGCCACACAAGGGTCCCCTTACCTTCACCACAATTGGCATCCTGGGGACATGATCTCTGAGGAAGGAGCGAAAGGTGCCATAGTGGCCCTCGTTGAGATAGTA